GCAGCGTGTGTGCAAGCTGCGCGGCTGGGCAAAGGACACGCCAAAGAACAAGGAGACATACGATGTCATGATGGAAATTTGGACTGGTCTGCGATCGAAGGCTGACAAGGATAACGATGGCCAGGTGAGCTGACAGTCAGATTGAGTGCCGCTGTGGGTGTGCATACCTTTGTGTGTGTGTGTGTGTGTGCGTGTGTGGAGACTATAAAAAGGGCAACTGCATGTCAAGTGCTTCGTTTTGGGATTCGAGCTCGCCATTTGAATGGCTTTATTGTCAGTGGCAAAAGTGTTGAAATCCATGGACTGCACTCGATGCCATTGTGACAGCAGCTGACAAGTGGGCCCAGCCACACACACACACACACACACACATAGTCGCACAGATTATATATGTATTTATGTATGTAGCAGCAAACATTACAAAGTCGTTCGCATGCTGCACAAAAAAATGTTCATAAATTTTCTTTTTATTGGTGTGGAGTGTGCAGCTGTGTGGTGCCCAGGGGACCCAGAGGGTGGCTGGGGGAGTCGGCTGGGTGTGCCAGTAAGCAAATTCCACGTCTACAACAATGGGCGGAAATTGAATTGTGAATTATTTGAGCAATGCAGTCGCAGTTCCGGGCCACGACTTCAGTTAGTTTTCTAGGCCGCTGCTCATTACAATGACAAACTTTATAACCGCTTTATGCAGCCACAGGAATGTATCCATGCCCATGGCATAATCAGACTGAGTCTGCACAAATTAAATCATGGGTATAAGCCAGTCGAGTTTGTAATAAAAATATTATCCCAGCACAAGCAGCAACTTACAGTACAAGCGTGGTGTGGCAAGCACAGGTGCTTGAGGCCCACACCGTGCTTACACCATGCCCACATCGTGGCTCTGGCTCTGCCGCACTTTGATTGTGACACAGATAGCCGCAAAGTTTTGGCCTTTAGCCAGGAACTTGACGAAGTTCGCTGCAAATAAGCTGAAGTCAACTGTTTGCGGCCTTTGTGCAGTTTTGGCTTTGTGCTGGCTAGACTTGGATTTATTGTTGTTGCCCTAACTCATTTTACAGCTACACACACAGGCACGCACACTCAAGCCAACAACATGTGCGAGCCAACAATACAAAACAACTACAACAACAAGAACTGCGACAACTTAAGCTGGCCAGAGACACGGTCAAGGATGTGCGGCCTTTTTGGCATTTCAATTTGGCAACGCGCACCACTTAGATGCAATAAACATAAAAAATATGCAGCTAGTTCGACTAGAGGGTGGTTGCGCTCTAGTCAAGGGTCAAGGGATTGCGACTGGAGGAAGAGGAAGCGGGGACTTGGGCCTGTCAATTGACAGTGCAATTGATGGCGCTGACCGCACATTGTCTAGTGTTTTGCTTATTTATGGCCACATTAAAACATGGCCTGTTGTGGTCGGAGTCTCTTTGACCAAAATTAACGGTTGCTCCACTCCAACCAGCCGTAGTCAAAGTTCGTGCGTCGGGCGGGTCAAGGAGCCTCAGATTGTTCAATTTGGTCAAGGCGTCGATTGCTGATGTTGCGGTAATTGCCGTTGTTTGGTTTGGCAAGCCAAAAAACGCTCATAAACGGTAGGGCATAATGTGCAGGTCGCATAAATTACCGCCCGCATAAGCACCCCCCCACCCCAGCTTGTCCAGCACCCCCCAGCCGGCCATTATGATGTTTTATGAGCATCTGCCCCACTCACCTGCGAGTAGACTCCCAACTTGCTCTTCAACGCGTTTGGGGGCGTTACGCATAAATCTGAAGCTTTTAACCCACTTTAACCCACTCTCCTGGCCATTCCCATTCCTCGATTCGCAGGTCAGCGTGGAAGAGTGGTGCAACATGTGGGACGCATACGCCAAGGATCCCAGCAGCGTAATGGACTGGCAGAATACGTATATGAACTTTATGTTCGATTTGGAGGATGCTTCGCACGATGGCGGCATCGATGTGACGGAGTTCACTCTGGTCTGCTCCAGCTATGGCCTGGATAAGAAGGAGTGCGAGGAGGCGTTCGGCAAGATGGCCCAGGGTCAAAGCGATGTGACTCGCGAGCAGTTCGCCGCCTTGTGGAAGGAGTATTTTGCTGCCGAGGATGCGAACGCGCCCGGCAACTTTATTTTTGGCAAGACCTCATTCTAACTACTGTTCGGAAATTCCTGATCGATTTTGTCTTTGCCATTGATATATTCAACAAGAAAATATTGAAATTAAATTCTAAATTAAAGCTAAATCAACAGAAGGCTTCAAATTCCATTTCAATATTGACAATTTGTAGCCCAGTTAACAGTTGGCAGTCCTTAAAGCTCAGACGTTGTTAATTAAATGTTGTTGTCAACTGTAACTCAACTTTTGCTCAATTCAATGTTCTAATTTACTAGCCTAATTAGTTAAATGGAAAACATCTAGCTATTATTTATATTTTGTATTCAACTTATATAGTATACGAGTATATAACTAATTGTTGTGTGTGCAAGCTCAATATGAAAATGATATCTCAAAGCTCAATTAGAACAGGATTCGTGTAATCTGCTGAATACTATTGATGCGTAAATTAAACCAATTAAACTGTCAAATTGTTTTTGTGTGTGTAGTCGTAGTTTATCGTCCCAATCTCTGGCGTTTAAATATAAATGTAAATGTAAATGTAAAGTGTTTCAACCAATACAAACAATAAATGCTAAACATCTACAGCAGTTGCACGTTTAATTTATGGGCCAAAAAACCATTACTTGTTGCTGTTCCAGTGGGCGACGCCTTCCTTTTAAGTCCTTACGGCTACCGCAGGTTATGCACCCCGATAAGATCAGCAATTGGCTGGCAATTTATGAAAATTATAATTTTGTTCGCTGCCACAAATAACCTTCGGTTGTGCTGCATTGCCGAGCTTGGGTGCACTTCGCAGCGATTTACTGTTCCAATGGGGCGGCTACGCAATTAATGCAATTGCGTGTGTATAGAACTTGCTGTGGTTTTCTGCTTGGAGGGCAGCGCACTCAAGTGCCGAAGCTTTCTGGTTGGACGCTTGCAGCTTCAAGCTTAACTTGCTGGCTTTTTAAAAATGGCGCCAAAAGCTCGCAAGGCAAAAGCTCAGCCAACAGAGTTTTATAGCATTGAGCTTTCAGCTCTGCTTTTCCCCAGACTTGCCACATGGCAAGAATAAGCTTTTGCCCCAGGTGACAGCACTGTGGATGTCAGTGAAGGTTACGCTACAAATTGCCTATCTCTCTCTGCGCATCAGCATATCCTCGCGCGCTTCGCCTTTGATTCAAAATAATTAAATCTCTTGAACAAACTTTTCCTTATCAGCCAAATTAAGAAAGTTTCATTTAGCCTTCGGCAGACCTTGCATTTCATTTGTGTTCATTTCTGTTATATTCGGTTATATTTAAGTAAATTAGAATAAATATAAATAAATAGCTACTCCCCGGACGAAATTAGCCATGGGTCCGAAGTGGCTACTGTATTCTTGGTAATCGTACCAAAGTTCTGGTAAAGCAAAGAATCAAATCTGTACAAAATGCACAAGGATATAGTCCCCAACTGCATTAGCTGCAGCTGATGCTCCATCGAGTATTGCATTCGGTTGTGTCTCCATGTGCATGTGCTTTTGGGGGATTAGCTTGGAATACCCTACGGGAAAATCGATTCGTTTGTATTTGGGATTAAAAAACTGCTTGGCTTGAAACAGTTCTGCGGAAGCATATACTTTTTCAACTCGCAGCCAGCTGCCATTCTATTATACTGTGATGTTCCTGTTTATCCTCATGATTCCGAAAATTGTATAATAAGAACCTTTAAGCATCTCTTGTAAAATCCTTTGTATACACAAAACTGGTTAAAACTTGCTGAAACCTTGCGGATCCTGGCAAGTCCTGTGTAAAACAGTTCATAAGGATGAGGGTTGTCTTCTGAACAAAAAAACAAACGAATCGTTCTTGAGGCTTCCGTGACATAAACTATATTGTGATTTTGTCCTGTTTCTGATCCTCAGTCGAGCCCACAGTTAGTGGGGCTTGATGAAGTAAGTCCTTGTAGTCCCAAGAAAATCGGTTCTTTGGAAATTTGAACTAACTGCTTACTTAAAAAAGGGTATTTACTTGTTGCTCCTCAACAGAAACGCGCAAGAGTATGCAACAGTTTTGTTGAATACAATTTAATTTAGCTTTTTATTTTCATGCCAGAAAGTATGCAGTGAAATTTGATATTCGGGGATATTTGACTTTAGCCTGTATGTATAAAAACGTATTTAATTTAAATTATTTTACAACATCTATAGCTTCAAGTTTGTTCAACTAACTATGCCTTGTATAAACCGTTAAGGGTCCCCTGTTATGATTTTAACAAACATAATTGATTATTCTGCAGGAGTCTTCTATTCTCATACAAAGTTATCTATTCTAAACAATTTAGCAATTAGATAGTTTTAGCATATAGTCTCGTTTCGTACGTTACACGACTGCGCCCCTCGGTAGGTTGGGCGGATGCAGCAAATTGCATCGGGACTCGCGCGAAAAATAGCCCAATATTAATAAAATGCTTTAATTTTCATTTGAGATGCATTTTAATGCAGTAAAGTATACTGAGTATATAAAAGAGTAAATGCGGTTGATGAAGTTAACCTTAAAAAGGTATGCCTTTTTCAACCGGAAAGCTCCATGTAACCAATTGGAATTTAAATTTGATTTGAGGACAGACCAAATTTTTTTTGAACAAAATTTTGATGTCCCTTACTAGTCTTAACAACTTTTTTTCAAAATTCTGAATATAGTCGAATCTTCGATTTAAATGCGCATTTTTGTTATGTTTTCTCCTCTAGCCGAACTGTGCATAAGTTATGTATAGAAATAAATCTCGATTGGGTGGTATTAATATTTTTTTCAACTTTATTTCCTTATGACAGCCGTATCTGATTGATTAAGAAGTAAGAAAACTTTTCTATTTTTTATTAACTTTGTATGTATATTTAAATATATTAATTTTGTTTTCCATTACTATTTATTTTATGTTTCGCTGCTTAGAGTAATAGAAAAAGTAGTAGAAATAGCAGTAATATAGTGTAGTAGTAGTAGTAGTAGTAGTAGATACAACGTTACAATTTAAATATTTATATGTATTTATGTTTATACGTATGCATGTAGGTATGCAGGTAAGTTAAGACTATAAATAAATGTAATATTTGTGAAATGCGTTCAGCTGGAGTAGCTAGACTCAGTGCATGAGCAACTGTTGCTGTTCACAAGGATTTTGGCACATATGTGTGTACGTTTGTATCTATGTGTGTGTGTGTGTGTGTAGAGTGATAGTATGTGTGTTCTATGGTAGGTATTGCATAGATTTGTTCGATTTCTACATTAACAATAACAAATTACTAAAATTAAAACCAAAGCGCTAAGATTCGTCTGGATATTGCAGAGCCAACACATCCACGAGCGTTGCTGCTGGAGCTGGAGCTGGGGCTGCGGGTGGGCGAACGCGTTCGCAGCTGAGGATATTAGTTTTTTGTTTTCGTATGCTGCAGCGCGTTCAGCTCGTCCTTGAGCCACGTCTGCCAGTTCTCCTGCGAGGGGCGAAACAGAGTTTGTATACCAAAAAAATGGCCAATGTTGTTACCAAAAACAAAGCGATTTGTATTTTCAGCTCTAAATTCCAACACCAAGCGAAGCCAAGCCAGTGCGTGTAATACGTACGATATCTAGCTACGAGTGTACAAATGTAGGTGCGCTAGTGGGGTGGGGGATGTGAGCTGGGGTTTTGTGTACGTATGCTAACAGTATCTACTATAGTTAGCCGTTGGGTGTGGCAGCCACTTTGCATCGGTTAGCGCTAATTGCATGTGTCAACAGAGAGCGAAACGGAGCCAAGTTTGCTACGGAAATCGGAAATGCTTAACTAGTAGCTTGTGCGTGTCTTTGTGTGTGTGTGTGTGTGTGCCGGTGCTTACGGGTGTATTTATGCACGCGCGCGCGTTTGTGTAAGTGTGTCTATGTGAGTGTGTGTGTTGGGAACCTATTTGCTTTGGTTGCGCTTCAGTGTCTGAGCTTCTGTTTGCCCTTTGACGTTTTGGGCTTGGCTGTATCCGGTTTAGTCATTGTTATGCAAATGTTCCTGATATTCATCATATTCGTTTTCATTATCCTCCTGCTGCTCCTCCTCCTCGTCATCCTCCTGCTCATAATCGCTGGCATTGCTCTCCGGCTGTGTTACATCCGGCAAATAATCCTTGTGCATGGGCGTTGATATGATGGGCTCCTGTGTAGTTGTGTGTGCATATGTTTGTGCGTCGGTGTGGGCGCGTGTGTGAGTGGTTGTGTGGGTGTGTGTTTGGATATTAGTGTGCAAAAGCAAAAGTTAGTTAACCAAGTTAGTCAACAGCAACAACAACAACAACAGCAAGAAGAGGAAATACATAGTAGGAGTTGGTAGTGGCGCATGCAAAGTTCCACGTTTTAGTTTAGCCAATTAGAAAGTGAAATATATTTTAGCTTGTTGAAACGCATGCTAACCTTTGGAGGCCGCCAGCCGCAGCCCGGCAGCGGCAGCCCGTCAACGCCCAGCGGACAGGGCGCGTCCAGTCCGGGCACGCCCTGTTCGCCCTTGTCGCCGCGATCTCCTTTGCGTCCCCGTTTACCTGGCGGACCAGCATCGCCGCGTGAGCCCTGCTCGCCGCGCGGACCCTCCTGGCCGGGAATGCCGTCGGTGCCCTTAAGAGGCGCACGGCGTCGTGTGTGTCATTGTACGTGTGTGCGTGTCAGTGTGAGTGTGTGGGTCAAAAAGGTTGATACGTGTGTAGGAGGTTTTGCATAGATAGCAACAGTGTACGACGCCAACAAAGAAAGAGAATTGCATGCAGACAAGAAAAAAAACAATAAAAAAGAAGAAACACATATTATTCAAATTAGCAACCAGATAAGGTAGATAAACACTTATGTGTGTGTGTCGGTGTGTGTGTGTGAGAGAGTGATTGTGAGTGTGTGCGTGTATAATTACATATATACTACATACAATCAGATAGATCTGTGTGTGAGTGTGTATCTGTGCTTACCGGCAGACCCGGATCGCCGCGCTCGCCCTTGTGTCCCGTTTCGCCCTGTGCACCCTGTGTGGAAACAAAGATTTCAGTTAGACAAAGGCGAAAAATCGAAGGTGACATTTTTGTGAAGCTGGTTAATGTACCTTCATGCCATCCAAACCAGGCGGACCCTGTAGCGATTGAGAATGAGAGAGGAAAAGCGTCAGCGAATGCTTGAGGAAAAAGGAAAACTGTCGCCCGAGCGGCTCAACCAATTTAATTGGGCTAAGCTTTTGTTTTCTTTTTTGTGGTTAATTAAAGTTGAATATACAAATTAGTAAGCTCTGCTTCGTTTTGTGTTTTTTTTTTGTTTTAGTAAAAAACCATCACTTTATTGAAAATGCATAATTAATATTTAAATGATATATTGTTTCATTAGCCGCTTTACAATTTGTTGCTGCCTGTCAAGGAATGCCTTTCGGATTAGCGTAATTTTCATAATTTTTATATTGTGGCAATTGGCAGAATTCATACGCACATTTGGCATGCATGCATACATACATACATACATACCTACATACATGCATGTATGGATGTATAGACATAGATACACTCAAATACATATAGATACATATTTGTTATTTAATTGGAAACACTTGGTTTAGTACGCAATTAACAAATGTACACTTACAATTACCATTAGCAGCTTTTGAAGTTAATGACCAAATTGAATTGAAATTTATATATAAATTTATAATTTAAATGTAATGCTAATATTTAGTTAAATGTAATGCACATTGCCGATAGAACATATCTCCAGCGACCGCACAATTCATTATTCTAACCTATGGATCTCGGTTACAGCGTGATTTAGTTAGTTAGACAAAAGTTCAAGGATTTAAGTTAAGTAGAGTAAAATGTGGAAATTGAAGACAGGCGCAGTTAGCACTGTGGATAAGTTAGCTGTTCAATAAATATAAAATATCGTATCTTATTGTTAGTTGACATTTTATGTACACCATGAGGTTGGCTAATCTAGTGGTTAAAATGAAAATTGACATGCGAAATTGTTTGGTTTTTGTTTTTGTTTTTGTTTTTGTTTTTTGGGAAACTTTTTCAGCTTTGGGAGCGACACATTTAATTGAAAACAAATTGACATACATATGCATTGTAATTTGCCAACACGTATTTGCATTAAGTCCTTTGAGGCTTTAGTTTTATTTGAAATTTTATGCAAATGCAGAGCAAGTGTTATCGTAGTTGAACATATAATAGATTTCGTTTGCATTTAGCATTTGTTATTTATATATTTTTTTTCCACTTGACTGTGTTTTTCTTTTTTCATTTCATTTCGGTTTAATTCGATATAGCATGCTCGTGTTAGTAGTCATAAATTGTAAATTGATTTTTTTAGGTGCATTCTGTGCACTCGCTCAGATCGAAAGGTAGACTTGCATATATTTATTTGAGATGTTCTATGAAACCAATAGGATACATGATAGAATTATGTATTTATTGTTAATAATATCCTCATTTGAAGAGAGCTTATTTGAATGCATTGTGCTAAAACTTGCTTAATTGGGCTGTACTTGTTTGTGGGCTAATTATGGGAGATTGGGGGTCATTCTGAGGGCGCTTTGTTGTTCACCGGCCAGCCGATGCTATTGCAAACGTTTTGTTGTGTTCTCATATTCTCATATTTAATGGCTTCCCACACTGCAAATATGTTGTGTATACTAGTAGGTATATTTAAACTTTAGCCTAACTAATTTATGTTTTCAACGCGTTTCGTATTGAAGTTACATATAACACTGAAAAATATGCACAATTGGAAGATAGCTCTTTGTTGTTATCGCATGATATTACAATTACAATTTACGATTATTTTGAAAATTGTTATCATTGTGTATTTCTATGTATTTAATATGTATATTAAACAGTTTCTTTGTTGTAGACATATAACACATTCAAACACGATAATATATACGCAAACATTGAGACAAATTTCAAAGATATATATATATATATTTTGTTTAGTTCTTTACAGTTTTCACTTAGGTTATTTAAAATTGAGAATGTTTAGATACTATGTATTTGCTGTTTACCATTTGTCAAGCACTGAAGCTTTGGCATTCCTCTATAAATTGAATATACGACAAAGCCTCTGGACGGCACCTAAGATAATGCAACAATGCGGCAACAGCAGCAGCCGTGGCAGCAGCAGTGGCAGCAGCAGTGGCAGCAACAGCACAGCACTGAAAAGATATTGACTTTGCGGCTGGCAATGAAATTTATGGGTCAATCAAGAAAGTAACTAGCAAATTGAGTTACGCTGTTGCATCTGCAAGAAGGCCTTAGCCAAAATGCAGGCACAATATTATTTTCCTGCAACTTTCAAGTGCCACGGTGCGTATGATTTATGCAACAGCTGCTGCTGCTGCTGCTGCTGCTGCTGCATTGGCTTTTGCTTGAATGTACTTTCGGATAGGTGTACAGCGCAGTTTCAAATGAAATGCAATTACACTATTTGCATTGCATGTTCGTTGGCATGTTTGAGAACTTGTTTGTTTGCTTATTTGTATATTTGCCCCCTTCTCATGTATATATATCTATATATATATACATATTCTTATATACTCAATTTATTAGGTTGATTTAATTGATAGTTGTAAATATGTTCGATCGCGTGTTTCTATAGAAATAATTATGTTTGTTTTTTTGTTTGCATTTGTTTGCTTGTATACATAAATACTCATTTGGCTCTGCTAAACACATTATGCTCGCAGCTCTGTTATGTTTCATTTGATATGAATGCATTTTCATACACATATTTTTATTATTTTGTATATTGTTTTTCGTATTTTGTATTCTGTGCCTTGCGTCCTGCAACTTGCATGCAATTGGGTATATTCTCAATTATATGTAGATATAGGGTATTTTTAAGTGGCATGCGGCTGATATTTCGTATTGGGGTACGCATGTATTTATGTACATGGGTGCTTGTATGTACAATTTGATATACATACATTTACACAGATATGACTATATAGATAGACAATAAAACTGAGCGAGAGCCAGCGTGGTAACATTTCCTATGCTTATTTAGTTTGCTTAAATCTTTTTTCCACAAAGCTCAGCGTATGCTTTTTGTTTTTTTTTGCCTCCTGTGCGTACGTGTGTGTGTGTGTTTGTATGTGTGGGTGAGTATGTGTGTGTGTGTGTATTTGATAAGTTTGTGTCGCATTTCATTCGCTTTTCGGCGCAATGTGTTTGTTATTTATAATTAAACTGCACTTTTGAGTAAGTTGTATTAGTAGTCGCCCCACACCTGTTCCAGGTAAAAGAGAGAGAAGGAGAGAGAGACACGAGAACATATAAGAGGTTAGAATTTGTTTAGTCACATCGACGTATATAACGATTTACCAAAGCAAGATGATCGACAACAATTTTGTAGCAACATAAAAGCCAAACATTTAAATTTTAGTAAGCCAATAAAAAGAATAATAAAAGTAAAAGGTTTGTTCAACTGTGACTTACCGGAATGCCAGCTTTGCCAGCCGGACCAGAGGGACCCGACTCGCCACGCATGCCCATTGGACCCTAAAATGATATCATGAGACCTTGAAGCTCTTGCGCACTGTGATATAGAATCTGAATTACTTACCGGCAAGCCCATGGGTCCCTGATCGCCCTTGTGTCCCTTTTCGCCCTACGGAGAAGATGACATTATATAACAGACCACACCCCCCACTAACCATTTTATTGACTTACAGGATCACCCTTACGTCCATCCAAGCCGCGATCGCCTTGTGCACCAGTGTGTCCAGGTGGACCCATTGGACCAGGTGGTCCGGGTGGTCCGTAAAGCTATTGTAAACGGAAACAGCATTTTAGTTACGGGCCTTGGCAACGGAAGAGGCAGCTACTCACATATTCAATGGCGGGCATGTGCGGTGCATCAGCCATGCCGTCATCCTGCCGGCGTCGCATCTTACGGTACTGTAATTAGATCGATTAATATATATCGATTAGAGTTATTTGTAAGCTTTAACTCACCGAATCGCCGCGGTCGCCCTTGTCGCCCTTGACTCCGGGATAGCCCGGTGGTCCTGGCAGGCCCGGAGGTCCCATTAGACCAGGTGGGCCAATATCGCCGCGATCGCCCTTTTCACCGGGCGGCCCTTGATAGCCCGGCAGACCAGGTGGCCCTTCAATGCCCGGCTCGCCAGGCAGGCCATCCAGGCCACGCGGACCCAATGAGCCCGGTTCTCCGGGTTCGCCTGGCTCACCCTTGCTGCCATCGCGTCCGTCTCGCCCGTCCTTGCCAGAGAGGCCTGGTGGTCCGGGCGGGCCACGCAACAGTGTGACGGGCGGGTCGTCATAATCCTCCTCCAGCTTGGTGCCGCCAGGGCCAAATAGCTGCTCAAAGCAAAGGCGAATGCGTTTTGTAAATGGGGGGTGGAAGAGAGATATGTTGGCAAATTTAGTGGGAAGATTAATTTATGCCACGTGGCGCCGCCTGAGGCGTTGCACGCGCGCGTTCCACACACACGTACACACGCTTTGATGGCGCAACAAATGCGGTGCGTTATTCGCTGCCATGAAGAAAAAACTTGGACTCCCCACACCCCTCGCTCTCTCTGGATGGATGGAGTGGGAGTGGGGATGGGGGTGGTGCTGGTTTTGGGGGCGAGCTTTTGGTGGCTGCTGCGCCACAGTGAAAGTCTTTTGTGTGCGCGTCGAAATTGTGTTAAGTGCAAGTCGGAGCCGAGCCGAAACTCGCTCCGCAGCCACAAACTTAGACAATGCTGGCATAGAAAAACCTTTAAAATCTGCTGGGCTGCGCATGGATCGGAGGTGTGGGAGTGCGAGTCGAAAATAAAGTCAAGCAGCGACGTGCCTCAAGTGCGGTGCGCGAGTGTGTGCCTTGTGTGTCTTGTGCATTGCTCTTTGGCTTTTGCTTGCTCGAGAGCTAGAGTGTATGTGTGTGTGTCTGTGCTCGTGGGTGTATGTGTGCGTGTGTGTGCATGGTGAGTTCCAAAGTGAAAGATAATGAATTGGTTTTGTGCGCTTCTCAAGCATTTCGAGGCATATTTTCAGGGAGCCAACGGCATAACCAACAAAAACCGCGTGCGCATCGATATAGCCACAACACACACACAATCACACCCACTTACTAACACACACACACATATACAGGCCGTTGCATTTAGGTCGCATTCGGTATCGTGAATTTACCAAAAGTACTAGGGCGTTAAGGTTGCCGCTGGCATATTCAGGCTGCAAGACGCCCAATGGCAGCAACAAAGTCTATTACGAAAATGTTAAAGCCCATAAAAGCAACAATACAAACAGCTAAAGAAAATAGAAAACGTTTACACACGTGGCTCAAACGTAAGGGGAGACGCTTAGAAAAAGTATGCAATGCCATTTGAGAGCCGCAAGGAAAAGTGGCGTAGGAAGGCAGAAATCGAGCAACAATGGAGCTTAAAGTAAAGTTTTCAATATGTATCCAATTTTGTGTACATACATATACGTATATACTGTGCAACAAAGAGCTTTAGTATCGTATTTGAGATAACCTTTTCGTTTTCTATTTATTTTTTGCTGGCGCATGTAAAACAATTAAGTTTTATTGTATTTCTTGTTGCACATGCTTGACGCTTTGTTGTCTAAGGAAGTGGCGTACTTACAGATATTAAAGTACAACAAAAACAATAATAACAGTCAGATAGCATAACAATGCGATACGCTTAACACACACACACACACACACACACACATGCACACATATGGCTGTGCCTGGGCATATGCTTAAGTGCTGCTACGAAATGGCGGCCTTTTGCTCGCTTAAATGCACAAAAACAAAAGATGTGCCAGAGACAAAACACAGAGAAAAAAAACAATAACAACAACAGCATTGAGAACTGAAACGCAAGTTGTAACCATGCTGGGCGTAAGGAGGAGTGACAGGAGCAACGACCATGACGCCGTCGTGGCTTACCGCAAATGCAGTTGCCAGCGCACGAGTAACTTTTGCCCCTTTATGCATACTCATATTATGCGCAGCTCATCTGCATCCAATGTGTGTGTGTGTACGTGTACGTGTGTGTGTGTGTGTCTCGTGCTCAGCTGGCACTTTGTTGCAAGTTTTACAGTTTTACACAATGTTGCCAAGACCCATGGGCTCGGGCGTGGGTCGGTTTTCTGCCTTGGGCTCTACTGAATTTCCGCTTCCGCTTTCCGTGCGCGCCATTGTTGGGCTTTGGTGATTAGTCGTCCATTTGTTGAGCAATTAAAGCGCTTGAAATTAAAGCGCACGCTTAACATTTGCTCTGCGTGCGGCATTGGCGATAATTAAGGCACATTCAGCGGGATTAAAGGCCCGCCATCTCCATCAGTTAGTCAGTCAGTCAGTCAGTCAGTCAGTCGGTAAGTCCGTTCGTCAGTCCGCCGAAAAACAAATGCCAGCGACAAATCAACGACTTTTTGTTGCAGCAACAACAAGCAACGACAAACAAAAGGTACGGGCCAAGGGTTTAAAGGCTTTAAGGATCCGCCGCCGACGGCAGTTGCGATAAATAACATAAATAAAAGATACGGAGCCAAGTGAATTTGGGCAAATGTTTGTTAGCCATTCGCAAGGACGATTCTGTTGGCGCAGCTGCCTAACTACGATAAAAACTTCTTGTCTGCCTTTTCGGCAGCCTTTTTAGCTCTGTGTGGGCGTGAATCGATCTCTGTGTGTATGTGTGCGTGTGTGTGTGTGAAATCCATTAGAATGTATCAATATTTGTGCGAGCGCCTCGAGTTGATTTTAATTTCCAACGTATTCAAGCAAACACACTCGCATACACGAATACACGCACTCACACACACATACACACACACCCACACATGTGAGCTGCTTGTATGCTGCAAGGCATTTCCTTAAATTATGCGCAAATTTGTTTTTATTTGCACAAACGCTTTTCAATTTAAACTTTGACTCGCTGGCAACTTGCAGCATACTTTCAGGCGCCCTCGATAAGGAAAACACGAAAATGCTTGTAATTGCAAAGTAATTGCCCAGCTATCAAGGGGCGTGCCCAACGCCGTTCGCTCGGACTTCGGTCAAGTGGCGCGCACGGATTTTGGAGTATTTTCAACGTGCGCTTAAATTCCATTGAAATTGCGTAGTCCAAAGCAGACAAATGGCCGCACGTAAATGCGTTAAATTGAAAATCATTTTGATCTCGGCGCGACCTTTTCTCCTGCGACACTGCTTGCCGCAGCGAGGCGTGGCCAACGCCCACGTTCGTGCTTAAGTGCAGCCATATGCCGCAATTCCGCGTTGTCCATGCCATTTGTCTGTTTGTGTGCGTGTGCGCATATTTTTTCCATATTTTTTTTTGGTTTTTATAGCAGTTTCCTTTTGAAATTTCATATTTTTCATAGCCACAGCAACCGCAGCTGAAGCAACAACAGCAACAAGCACAGCGAGCAGCTGAACACGGCCCGAGGTGAAAGTTTTGTAGCTCGTTTCCGGCTCACACTCACTCACACACACACACACACACACAGTTCCTGCTTCGCCCCTCGTCCGAAGTTGGCGCAGCCATGTAATACGTTCCCCAGTTTTCGCTTGCCACAAAAGTTTACAAGAATCACACAATGCCAGGGAAGTTCTTGGCAAGTACGCGGCCACATTAAATGCGTAATATGTTTTGCTACGTATCGACATCGTTGACAATGGAGGAAAAAGAAAATATGAACCTCAAACATTTTAGTGAAATAATCAATTCAGCTGAAAGCACCTTTATAATTCATTTCCTAAGAAGGATTACAAATCAACTATTTAATTCCAGCAATTTGATTTGTTTTTAAAAATTATGAAATAAAATAAACAAGACCAAAAATATCTGATAAAATCTATATATGCGCATATTTTAAAAGATGTTTTTACCAAAAGTGTAAGTCCATTTGAACAAACGTAACTTATATAAAAACTCTTCTAATATTGTCAAAATTGTTGTTGGATCCCGTTGTCTTAAAAATTTTTTTGTCAGAATAAGCTACACAACAATCAATTTGACTTTTCGATATCAACACTTTTTGTTTATATTATGATGAATTTTGCCCATGGTGATATGTATGCAGCCGCAAGGAAAAAGTCAAGACGCGTTGTAAAAATTTCGCGTGATTTCATTTTGCCGCTAACATTGTTGCTGATGTTGTTGCTGTCCTGATATTGTAATATGCCGGAAATTTGGCAGTATTTAGGGAAATCGTTGCTAAAGATTTCGCCAGTTACAGCCACAACAATGCCAGCTGCGGTAGTGGGTGGGGTGGGGTGGACTGGCAGCTGCGTAACCCGACTTGCAAACGTACCATTACGTCTGTTTGGGAGCTGCAGCCCCAATGGAAACCAATGGAACCCAATGGTACCCAGCCCCACATCAATGGCAAACGCGTGCCTATAAATTTCCAGGGGTTTGTGTGTGTGTGTGTGTGTGTGTGTGTGGGGGGCACACCCATGTGGGCGGGGCCATTCATTTGGTGTCGCTAACTTGAGATTTTTATTTGCCAGCATACGCAAACGTTGCGTGCGCTGGTGGCACCGCCTGGATTTCTTTATTCAATCGTTTTTGTTGCTCCCACAGCGCCCTCATCATCAGTTGCCATAAAATAAAAGTTACGCACACCCCAGGGACAACATTACAGGCCACACACACGCACACACACACACATGCATATCCTGCGGCATGGTGGCAACCATGGCATGCTTGACCGATTTTGTTAGGTTTCATTTTCAATACGGGGAGACATATGAGCACTGACCACAAATAATTTCCACAGCGGCAAAATGGAAAATTGCGAACAAAAAATAGAAGAGTAGCGAAATTTGCATGCTGCGCATTTTTCAATGAACAATGACGTCACACACACGCAAACACACGCAGACGCTCGATAAGCAACACAGCAGTTGACACAGCATTGCAGAGGCTTATCAAATCGAGCTATAAACCGAACCCAGCCCAACCCAACCCATCTCAAGCCAACTCAACTCAAGTCAAGTCGAGCAGAAGCAATGAAAATTCAGCCTGAGATTTTCCTGGGCTGGTGGAAAGTGCTAAGCTTATTGCGTCGTTTAGGCAACACCCGAAACGAATTGCCGGCGAAAAGACGCCAACGAATGTGAACCCTTTGAGTGACAGACATGAAGATATAAGCACATATCCAAACAAAGGCGCACACACACACGCACACACACACACACACACTAAACGGAGCAGTCGTTTAGACTTTTCACGTAAGCAACTTTAAGGCTTTCATTTGCAAGGAAAACTGTGGCTGGCTTCAAAGTGGCGCAAAGTGTCGCCTTCGCGTCGTCAGTGGTGCGCCACTTGCGATGACTTTCTGGCCAGCAGCTTTCCGGTCGGGACATGGCTCATGTTACCAGGCAACTGGGCGGGCTTTGGGCGGTGTTGTATAACGTGTAACGAATCTGCAAGTTGTTTTTTTTTCACTGTTTGTTTTTGTTTTTGCGGCAACGGCAACGGCAATTTTTATGACTCTATTTACCCAAGGCACACACGAGGCACACAAGAAACTTGCCCATTGCTGCTGATAAGAAATGTGAGCTGGAAGCTTGAAGCTGGAAACTGGGAGCGCAGCCTGGGAAATTTATGCAGATTTTGAGGCCCAAAAGACAACACACACGCTGATGTGACATGGGCATGGGGTGAGCAAAGTGACTATTGTAAAATATATTAACATAAATTTGACATAAATGCTTCAAGAACAGTTTTTACCGCAACGCTTCAGGCGGCGCTTGTCTAGGAAATAAGTGTGTGTGTGTGTATGTGTGTGTGAAATATTGTTTCAACTTTATTAAAATAAAAAAAAAAGGAATGGCAAAGCAAATCTAAAACAGCTAAAGCCAACGCGACATCAGCGCGCATAATAAATGGCAAATATCTCTGCAAATGCCGCCCGTTGCTCCGGTTGGACAGTCATTGGATATTCATCATACGCCCCGTTGCCCCGCTCTCCCATTGCTCGCAGCAGCGAAACTCGTCAAAAAGTTTGAAATTAATTTAAATTTTTAATATGTTGCCTGATCGTAAATTGTATATTAGATGCGGCAACGCTCGCAAAATGCGTCAGCGCTAAAATATGCAAACGAAATATTGCGTGCCACAAATGAAAGGACAATTTATTTTGAAGTGTCTCTCTTCAATTCCCGTCGCATACATATTATATATATATATATATTTATAAAGGACATTTATTAGTGAAATTTGAGTGCAAAGGAGAATTGGCGTCGAAATGAATCAATTAACCTTTAACAATGCTATACATTGAATTGAAAACAATTTGTGTATACCAATTAAATTACTTTAAAACAAAGAAAATATATACGAAAACATTTCTCATTTACTTTAAATAAAGCTTGCCTAAATATATCTGTACGATTGCGAAATGTTCTGGAATTTTAGTCAAGTGACATTATTGCCGCATTTGATTTAAATTTACACATACATAATTCATATACAGATCTTAACTTAATATTAATATACATACATATGTATCGCCTGACACATGTGCCACACAGCTCAGTTTTGCGTAGAGCATTATTCCATCACATCGCGACTCATTTAGGTCCACGACGCCCCTCCACTACACCCCTGCTAAATTCGCCCCCTTTAAATGACGCAATATTCTCATGTGAACATTTTATTCTGACGAGGCGACGAGAATAACATGTCAAATTTATAATGCCTACAATTGCGTTTTTTATGGCCGTAGCCGACGCGACGACAGCGGCAAGGAAAACAAAAACAGTGAGCCGAATATTTAATACCCTTTTTGATATATTAAAATATTTGTTTTTTTTGCAGTGTTCGTAAACTTAATCTTACTCATTTTAAGAAGTCGAAAAGTATTTCCTGTACTTAATTGTCAACCAATTATTTAAATTCGGGCATTTTTATATATCACGGCGATATTTATATATAATCTGCAAGAGCATCGACGCGAGCGTGGCAAAATTATTGCTGCTTCGGCTATAATCATATTGCCAGATGCAAAACCAACGCCTTAGGCGTCTTAGCAGGGGGGCGTGGCCTTATGGCGCTAGACGGATAAATGTTTTCCAAAACGGAACACGAGCAATTTGAAATTTTTTACGACTTGCTGAACTAATTACACGAATATTTCATCTAAGCAACACGCTAAATTTTGAACAACTTTTATAGAATTTTCTTATTTGCTGCTAAGCGAATGTGTTGCAAGTTTGAATGTGCCGCACGAGGCACAAGAAGCATAATTTTTCATCATTTCGCATTATCATCAGATACATTCACATTTTCATTCATCCGAATGCCTTGGTTATGGCTTGAAGGCTTTCCTCGAAAAACCAAATCCGCTGATAGTCGAATTGAAAAATCGACGCCCCGCTGCCGTAGTTGCCAGGAGCCGTCACGTTTCGGCAGCTTCGGGAGCAGCCCGGCCTTCATCGAAGATGATGGCAATTGTTGCAAATAATTTTTTATGCTTAACATTGCCTGGGTGCGCCATGGCCTGGGCCTAAATCTGTGCGGGCAGAGAAAGGCAGCGTTGGGGCGCGCGCGAACTTTTGTTTGTTGCCAAAAGTTTTGTTTGTTTGCCAAAGGCAGCCAGGGAGCTGCGACTGCCTGCCGTTTCTTATGACTTTCATTTGTTTTGACATCACGTCGCTGCAGCGCCTCAGCAATACAGAGCAAGAGGTTGATCAAGAGAGAGAGGGGCAGGAGCAGAACGATGTAATCGGCACATTCGAGCACCATGGCACGAGTGCGCATAGCATTGAAAATATTGTGGCAGGAGGCGCGGCATGCATTACCCGCAGCTGAAGCAAGCCAAGAGGTTAGCCAGTAAAGTTTGGTATGTCTATGGATATATTTCAGAGTGTGTATATTAAGAATCTGAGTGCTTAGTAATATACAGAGAATTCTTTTATACTCTTTAATAAGTCTGAGTATCTGAGCTAAATGTACTAAATAAGTATCTACTAGGAAGTTACATTAACAACATTTATATATATTCTACATAGTTGAATTGTCAGCTCTAGCTTAGCTTTGCAAAGCATTGAGACAACTCTCGGCTAACTCGAAGAAAATCGACGCAGAAGTCATAAAAGCGAAGCTGCACGTTGCCAGTTGCCAGTTGCCAGTTGCCACTGCCGCTTGATGTTGTTCTTGGTGTTTGCTTCTGGCCGTATTGGAACTCGGTTTGAGTTTGAGCTTGCCGCTGTTTTGTTATTACGCGTTATTACAACAACAACAATATCAGCAAGAGTATCAAAAATAACAGTAAACGCCAATGACGGGGCCAACAGCAGTTGGCCAAAGGCGTGTTATATGAATTTGCCACTCTTTGGCTTACTCTCTATGCGTGTGCGTGTGTGTGTGTGTGTGTGCGAGTGCTGGACAATAATCAGACTATTTTTACGAAAATTGGCAAAACGCGCAAATATTTGTGGAGTGGCCAAAGTAGAAGAAACAACTCCTATCGAAGCCCCAGCACATCTCCGTTTGCCACCGGCGCTTATGCATTTTTCATAACGTACACAAACACGTTCTAGATACATATTCATACGGCCCCCTTCACGGTGCCCCACCTTCAATCCGCCATGCGCGCGTTTATATACACAGGAATGCTTTGCAAAATATGAGAATCCGTAGCTGCTTTCATCGTGGTGTGCATCCATCAGCACGTCACGGGGCGGCAACAGCTGCCGACTGACTCACCAAGTGCCAATAAAAATGTTAAGTATCTTTGCACTGTTGACATTCAGGAGGAGACGCACATAACGTACGGCACAAATGCCTAGATAAATGCTGCTGATACTCCCTCTAAGCCAGAGGCATGCGGCACATAAATTAAGCAGCAGATTTAAGCGCCAAAACATTTTTGACAATTTCGATGAGGCGCCAACGTGTGTCGACATAGTTTTGCGCCGCGAGGCAACCCTCACGCATATGCCAGCAGTTTAAAGGGAATATCTATTACGCGCGAGCTCCAATTTAGTGTGCGTATCTGGCAGATACTTTAAGACTTAATCAAAGGCATTACATCAAGGTCTTTCCACCGCTCTGGATGTGCCTCAGGTCTGTAGCTGTAATGAGTTTAGTTGAGAGTTGAGCACATCTCCTTGGGGTCTACATGCTCATTACACAGTCAAAGACACATACACATATTGCTCATAACTAGATTTATGTATAAACATACATATGTACATAGTAAGCATGCAAGGTGGCGGACGCCAGGTGGCACTGCGTGCGTGCCTGGCCATGCGAAAGGATGCGGATGCGCCCTAAATATATACAGGTTACGTAGCTCTTCGTTTGCACAAATATTTACAGATTAATTTAACGAGTATGTAAATTATTGTGTTACGCCTTTACGCATTTTTACAAAGATTTACACTTCAATTTACATATTAATAAATTTTCTTCATTATTATTGTGCTGTTTTTTCATCATCTTTTAATTTTTCGAGCTCGCACTTAATTTGCAGCCGTCGCTGTTTTCTAATTAAAATTGACTGCAAAGCGAGTTTTCGCATTGGTTATTCGGTTTGCCGTCACACTCACCCGCTTGCCCCGCTTGCCGCGTGGTCCTTTCTCGCCAGGCGGTCCGGCCGGTCCAATGGGTCCCACCTCGCCGCGCTCACCGCGGTCTCCGGGCGGTCCTGTAAATGTAAATGTTTGGCATTTAAAGTGAATGATTTCAATAGCACAAAGTGTACAAATATATGCAAAAGCGATCTACACAAATATACAGCTACAGTTGGAGAAAAAGTCAAGTAAATTCTGTAAAATATGAATTTCAGAATTTAAATTTCTAGAATATTTTATAGTTCAATGCAGTAATATTTGATGATGTTTTTGGATAATTTTCTTAGTTTCTCTATTCTGATTAACCATAATTAATAGAATTATAAGAAAGCTAACTGATTCTAATTATTTGCTTAATAATTCTTATACGTATTTCATTCAGCAACTCGTGTTATTTTTTTTGATTATGTATGTAATATTTTTTGATATATTCAATTTTTACTTGATGTGGTTTGTGAGAGGTTGTTTGTTTAAATATGTATGTCTCTTTTTACAAGACTTACTTATTCTTAACACTAATGCTTAACATAACCTTTAACAGACTGACTTGCTGTTAACACTAGTGCTTAACATAATATTTAACCGACTGAGATTCTGTTAAGGCTAATGCTTAACATAATCGTTAACTTTCTGTTAACAGTAATGCTTAACATAATCTTAACAGACTGACCTTCTGTTAACCTACTATAGATTTGAATTTATGTCTCTTAAAATTCATCCGGCCTAAATGTTTTTATTGCACACTTATTTTTTTGAGTGCACCGCTTATGTTGACGCTGACACGCGATGCGTCAAGTGTGGTGCAAACAAGAGGCGGGGCTCAGTCGTAGCTTTGTAATTACACCCGTTATTATCGCCGCTCGATGGACTGTCACCGTTCATCTGTCAGTCAACAAGCGTTTGTCGGGTTTTCGGTCAGCAATTTGTTCAACTGGCGATGATGCTGGCAACGATAAGCGGCAGTTGCTGCTTTTGATGGCTTGTGGGTTTAGTTTGAAATGCAAATTGTTTATTTGCCAAAATGAAATGCCTTATTGCCAACCGTGACCGACAACCGCTCGTTGTATGCTAATGAAGCGTGTGGCTTTCAAGTAACTTGTCCTATTTACCTCAGCTGCAGAAATAGCTCTTATTTCTGCTGCAGTTGTATTTTCTTGCTGCATTAATTAATCAATCAACAATTTATCAATTGAAATTCCAGACTTATTTGCAGAGTTATTCGATTTGTAGTTAGTATTGTCTTGAATTCAAAAATTGTTTACGCCATCAATTAAATTTGGGCTGCTTCGAAATCCGACAACATAAAACTAGCTTTGCTCCACTGTGGCACTGAAAAACGTCGACAACGAGAGAAAAAACAACAACAGAAACAACAACAACAACGATGTGACGACCTGTTTAGTTAATATAATGAGAAATTGTTTTTCTGGCTGAGGCCATTAAATGCGACCATTTATACAACGCACACAGACACACACACACACACACACACACACACACACAGCCCAGACTAGGGGGATAAATAAACGTAACACACACATTCGCATACAGAATTCATATCATAGATAAATCCAATTGTGCGGCTTGTCAAAATATGCCTGTGTACGTGTATGTGCATTGTCCTAGTGTGTGTGTGTGTGTGTGTGTGTGTGAAAAGATATAGAAAATTTATTAAGTTCGTAAATTTGCGTTTGGGGCGGACCCGGCTCGTTGAGTTGCCAGGACACTCGCTCTCGTCTCTTGGCCAGGGCGAATAAATTTGCCTGCCTACAGTCTGGCTGGCATTTGGTTTATGGGTCCTATGCCTCGGCCGTCCGTTGTTTATTTATAAAGTATTTTGCTGTTCCGCTTTGTTTTGGATTGCGACTCAGACTAAGACTCGGACTCGGGCTCGGTAAGTATTTATGGCGGCATAATTTAACGTTAAGCATTTTAGGCGACAATTTCAGCCACAATCAAAACTATTGCTAGGAGCCGACAACAAGTTGACCAGCGCCGCGGGGCCTGAAGTGGATTTATAGAGTAAGGATATTGGATTGTTGGTCCGTTTGCGTTTCCCTTGGCATCTATCATTTCTCTCTGTGCTTTGTTTGCTGTTTTTCTGTTTGTGGCTTTTCCAAAAAGGCAATGCAGATGAAGTGCAAATGATAAGTTTTAATTTCGTACACAAAGCAAGGGACAAATGCAAAGCAGATCCAAGCAGAGCCGAGCAGAGCGTAGCTACCCGGATGAAATGCAATCAAAATATATACTCAAATGAAATTCAAATAAATCAGCAAATAAATTGAAATTTTCGGTATTACAGTTGGGATTGGACCAGCTGCTGTCGCTGCCATTGCGCCAGCATTTCCTGCTCTCTCTCCTGGAGACGCAAAATACAAATGACACATTAAATTGCCGAAACATCTCCCAGGTCCAGCTCTGGGCCTGCCCACACATAAAGCACAAGTCAGCTTAACTAATTACGACAACGATAAGATAAGCAGTTGACAGAGCGAGAGAATGAGCCACAGACGTGGCGACCAGACGAAAGAATTCCAAATACAAATGACATTCAATTTATTCAAATCAAGCCCAAATGACTGAAGAACCAGAGCCAGAAACAGACCCTGAAGCAGACGCATGTCCCATGAGCTGGCGACTCGATTCTGGCGCTGATTTCAGAAAATAAATTGCAATTTCATGTCCATCAACGCACAGCCCAGCACAGTCATAGAACTGTCCCAGGCCTGGGAGTAGGGGCCATGGACAAGGGTCGGGCTTTGCATTGGGCGCTTGGTAACTGTCGACAACTGTGGCTATCGCAGCAGCAGATCTTGTTTTAAACTAGCAAGAAATCTAAAAACAATGCTCACAACATCAACGCAACTGCAACTTACAACTGCGACAACATCAACAACAACAACAACTACAAATATAGCGCCTTGATGCTCTGATAAGGTAAGTGGGAGGCTGCTCGATGCGGGTCGTGTAGAGCGCTTAATTGATAGCGATTCTTGTTGGTCACATGCATTAGGGGTATTCTAAAGATAGGAAATTTAGCCTATAATATTTATAATGTATTCCGGCTGTGTGTAGTGCTTTCAATCCAAGTCTAGCATTAATATCTAAAGGCAATAGAAATCAGGGCTGTTCTTTTGTGACTGTAACCAATATGCGAAGCAATGAATCGAAAGGAGTTTGAATAATAATTACCTATATTAAATCTACTTTTATCTTATATATAACAAACTCCCTCTCTCATGTAATGCATTAACATGCAAGGGTAAGTTTAAGAATCATTCAGAATCGTTTTAGGAAATATTTACAAAGAAACAATGGATTTGTTTTTATTATGCTCCAGCATTATTGGGCTTTCAAAAGGATAACATAGGCGATAGTTTTTATTTGCTTGAATAAAAAAGAATATATATTCTTTATAGCTTCTTACTATGCTGACATTTACGACTCATCTCTTTGCTTCTTAAGAATGTTTAGGCCGTACACCCTAAGGCTTGACTATTGTTTATTTATTGCGCACACTGAAGACCCCTAATAAAACAATTGGTCAGAGAGCGTCCGACTCGGGGCAAAGGTAATTACATACTCTTATATATTGTTTTACCACATGCTGCATGCTGCATGTTGCATGCTTCATTCTAGACAGGCGCTGCGTCTGGAACGTGGAACGTGGAACGAGTAGCTATACTAATGAGCCGCTAAAAGCAACATAAATGACATAAAGTTGCGTTTTTATGGCTGCGGTAAGTGTTTCAAGCTGTCCGGGTATACAAATTTTTATGACAAACCGCCGGATTCGAATTCGGATTTGGATTCCAGAGCGTTTCAACTATTTGACCGGCGCGCTTGGGTTATTTTCGTTTATTAAAATCGCATAAAGTGCAGAAATATGTTAGGCCAGATCGTAAAAGCAGCCAGCAAATGGAAATTGTACGAGCTGTGGTGGGCGTATGGGCGTGTGCGCCTGTAGGGGCCGGACATCGGGGCGGAACGAGTGGGCGGCTGCTGCCAACAAATTGTGGGGCATTTAATTGACGTCGACGTCAAACTTTGCGGCATGCGGCAGCACACAAAACACAAAGGTCGTAAATGTTATCGCAAAATGCGGCAGGCAAACCAATTTCCAAATGTGGAAAAAAAACCAAAACAAAACTAAAACTAAAAAAGAAAACTATATTTAAACGAGAATATTTCAAAAATTTGTGCGGCCATAAAAACAGCTACGGAAATGCACGGAACGCATTTGAAGCTATGCATTTGGTATTTGATTTACATTTTAACGAGCTGATTTTCACACCAAAGGCCCAAATCAAAATCCAAAATGCGCTCTAATGGGACAGCGCTAGTCAATGACTCAATTAGGTTGGGGCCAGGGGCGAACACAATTCCCAGAGTCATCTGGCAATAAATTAAACAACCCGCAGTTGAGCAGCCAAACAGCCGCGTGGCAACACTTGAAAAACCCATCGAACCGATCGATTCTCAAACATCAATAAGCTGTGGTTAACGTAGTTTACGACTAGTCCGGGTGTATCTGTATCTTTGGCTGTGAGTTAAGTGGCCCTCAAACAAAAACAAACTGAGAGGCAGCTGGCTCTACAGATTTTTGGCTCTATGACACTTACCAGGTGGTCCAGGCGGTCCCGGCGGACCCTCGATGATGCCCGTTGGGAACTCGTCACCCTTGATGGTTGTGGTGAGTCCGCGATCACCGCGATCGCCCTTGTCACCCTGTGAACGAAAAGCAAACGGTTCAATGAGTCACAGGGCTGCATCTGTATTGATATCTGACTGTTGGAAAATTAAGTGGAAATGCCATGGCAAAAAGGTGACACACAGACATGAGAGACATGCGAGGGGAAAGAGAGGGACGCTTAATACATAAATAAGCGATAAATAATGTGGAAAACCGAGAAAAAGACAATGGGAAAATCGGAAAAACAAAAGCAGACAGCACACGGACAATGCATATACCCAATCACACAAACACACAAACACACACACACACACACTAACACACTCACTCACACGCGTACAGGCGGACGACGACTCATTCGTAGTCACTTAAAACGTCACAATGTTTATCCAACAGATACAAATAGTGCATTAATCCTTGAGACATCTTTGTTTTACTTATGAATCGCTTTCAAGCCCTCTCTGTCTGTGTGTCCCTTTTCGGTAATTCGGTTTTTGTTGTCTGTGAATCACTCACCTTTGTGCCAGGTGCGCCCGGCACGCCGGGCGGTCCAATCGGTCCTGCCTGACCGGTCTCGCCCTGAACTCCCTGCGGTCCAGTTTCGCCAGGTGGTCCACGCTCGCCTGGTACGCCTGGATTGCCAGGTTCGCCTGGGGGTCCAGGCGGGCCGGGCTCGCCAGGTTCACCCTAGATTATTGAAAAACATGTTTATTAGCATCAAGATCCCACACATATTCCGCTTAAATGGAGAGGCACGTGCAGCAGACAAAGATGAAACCACATAGTAGGAGGCATGCAATACATAGAAAGGAAAATACCAGGACCCGAAAACTTACCTTTAGCTGTATGACCGTTGAAGCGGATACGTTAACGCCCGCTTCTTGCAAGTCCTTACAAAACACACATAACGGATTAAACGAAAAATGTTCAAAAGTAAAACAAAATTTAAATTGGTTAATGAAAAAAAAAATAAAAATATATATATTAAAAATATAAACATGAGCTGCTGCAAAGCAAATTTAGTTTCAAAAAGCTAATGGAAAAAGTATTAATTTTTTTTAAAGGAAAGAAAGTTTCAAAATTACTGAAAAATATAAAAGTTTCTATCTACCAAATTAAATTCCATCAAAATAAACAAGGAATATTTAATGAAAAAAATTAAATCGTAAAGCCAAACCAATTGAGCAAAACCCGTGTTAAAAAGGACTAAAGCAAATAATTTTTATAAAGAATTAACGCCCTGTTTGTGTTTTTATTTGACTCAACTCAACAAAAACAAGTAAATATTTAAAATACATTTGCAAATATGCAAACATTTTTTTTAATATAATTCAATGTATTTGTACAATGTTTCCATATTTATACTACGTTATGGAATACTGTCAAAAGAAGACCATAAATATTTGCGGCCTTTATGATAAATTGATTTTGTTTAAGCAACCAAATGAAGGAAAAAAGATTTTTACGAAACGGAATATTTTCGAATGAGCACGCAAATCACAAGCCGAACGAGTAGCTGAACGTGTCCAAGATAAATGTCTGTAAATTATTCAGGCTTATATAAAATAAACAAGAAACTATATCAACTAACATGAAAGCAATGATAAAAATTCCATGTGAAGTATTTGAAAGACATTTAAAATTGCACAACTACACGCATTACTGGGAATGGGCGTCTGGTATGCTACCCAAAGCAACAAAATGACTAAACAGAACAGAATAGCAACAAATTTATGGTGCTGTTTAAACCAAAGAGCTGAGCCAAGTTAAAAGCATTACGAACAACAATGAGCAGGATAGTAAACAAGTACAAATATAAAATACAACAACAACGACAACTACTATAAATACAACTACAAGTGCGTCTAGAACGAAGGACAGGACAAGTCCAGAGGACAACAAGTTGCAAATATTTGCAGCTCTCTGTCCAACTGCATTTTGCCTTGAGATATGGCCATGGTCATGTGCCACAGTAGCTACTGTGCGGGGCGGGGCTGGGAATTTGGTTTGGGGTTGGACTTAGGGTTTTGGGGAGGGGGGCCGTCAAGTCTTGAGTACGGCAGTTGAAACGTATTTATGGCTGAGAAATACCTTAACAGCTACAATTTCCGCATAGCCCAGTGTGCCGCCATGCAGCGTTGTCACCGATCTCTTGAGGCCCTGGGAGAATGCAGATAAAGCAGAGCAGAGCGTTTGGTTAGAGATTTGCACAAATTTTAGAATAACATTTTTGGATTTCGATTTTCCGATTTCGTATGCAGATTTGCAGCAGCCGATTTGAGCAGAACCGCGATTTACACTCACCTTGACGGTCTGGAAGACATCCACGCCCGGATGGCCGTTATCGCCCTTTTGGCCCTTGTCGCCGGGGTTACCAGCAGCACCCTTCTCGCCGCTGATGCCATTGAGGCCCTGAAAAATAAAAAAAGTTGAGCACTTTCGCATAAAAGAACTTCTTCATGTTCTCCCCTGAATACTTACCGGGTCGCCCTTGTCGCCGGGGTCGCCCTTCTTGCCGCGCTTCCCTCGCTTGCCGGGCGGACCGGGCGGACCTGGTGGACCTGCAATTGAAATGCAATCTCGTTGTCAGTGGAGAACTGGTAAAGTTTATTTTTTATTATTTTATTTTAAAGTTAACTGCAAAGGGCAAAGTCTGACTTGTGTCTTAAGGTCAACCGATTCCGCCTCATTAGATGCGCTCTGAACTTTGCAGCTGACCGCAGCCTGCGTCCAGTGACTCAGCGAATTCTGAGGCAGGCGCTACTTTTTCCAAGTTTGCTTCGTTTTTTTTTTAACCGTTTTTTGCGCATTTTGCCCGCAAGTTGTGCAAATTCATTTAGCTGAAAAATGACTTTCGCTGCAGCAGGAAGGAAACAAAAGGGGCCAGAGAGCCAGGGGGGGCAGAACAGAAACTGTGCACAAAATATTTATAACCACTTTGGCTGCTATTATTTCAGCGCTGTGGAAAACTTTATCTGCTGGCGCTGCCGCTGGTGCTGTTGCACCAAGGAGCAGCAAGAGCGCTGCGTCACAAACAGGACAAAAACTCGACTCGATGCTTTTCAATTATTTCGCATGCAATTTTACGGCGCATAAAATTTCAGGCATCGTGCCTCGTAGCTAGTCCTGGCAATTATTCTTATTAGAACCGACCTTTAAAACACTAGCTATTGCTGTTGTTTTAGCTGAGTGTCCTTTGTTGTTGCCTGGAGACAGGAAATTAACACCTACATAAAGGCCAAGACAAGATGCTGGCAGCGAAATGAATGTCTGGTCGCGTCCCTGGGTTGCTCGAATGAAGTAGGTGTGAAAATATTTAATTAAAATAACAGCCAGCTACAAACATGATAACAAAGGCAAAAAAAAAAAAATGAGAAAAACAAAAGCAACAGGAAACACGCGCCGTTTTTACTTTATACTTTTCTTTTATTGTTGTTTTTTGAAGCTGCCGGAGAAAAAGCAGACCTTTCGGCTGCTATTTAATAATTGTTGTAATTAAGTAATTCCGTTTCTAGCTGTTCTCGAAAAAAAAGGTGCAAGTGAATCTAAAGAAAAGTCCAGAGTCGAAGCTGCCGAGGAAGCTGCCTTTAATGCAGGAAACGCCAGCAAACAATTTAAATTCATTTCGCGCCAAAATGATGCCACAAACTACCAAAGTGAAAAAGACCCGAACCGAACCGACCCGACACAGCCCGGCCCGGCCCGGCCCAGCACGGCACGCGTCGCTGTGTGAATGTGGGCGTCTGTAAGTACGGGTGTGGGTGTGGCCGATTGTGTAGGTGCGATGTGAGCAGCCACAGGCAGACGTAGCCCAGCCAGCATGACTCCACCGGAGCAACGCCCCTCAAAGGCAGGCAGCTCATTTAATTAAAAAAAGATTTCATTTGCCTCGTCACATTGGGCTACGAACCGCGCAAACATAATAAAGACCGGGCTTTAAATTACATACAAAGATCGGATACGCAAGAAAAAAGAAGGTGTCATTATAAGAAATTACCAAAAGGTGAGGAATGATGTTAGCATTGCACTTGGTTTCCTCTAGTATATGCCAGAGAAATTTCAAAGTGATCCACTTGTGAACCAGACAAAATGATTTCCTGAATTAGTTTTCCCTCAAGCTCGCTTATTACGAATTACGCAATCTTATTATTATGAAGAACTCTTTTAAATCTTTCGTATTAGTTAAGACAACTATGCACAAAGATTAGTTCTCGGTCATATTCGCCGTTGATATTTATGGGCTTGGTAAATAGTTTTCGAGTATAAGCCATATGTAATGTTAAAAGTTTTGTTCTATAGACCAAGTAGATTACGAGTATCTACTCGCGGCCCACTGTGCAGTGCGGTGGCAAAGTAAAAATTATGCGCTTACTGTGCAGCACTTGCCAAGTAATAAAAGCTAACCAATTAAGCGTGGATAAGACGCAGGCACAGCTTGAAACAATGGACGTCCATTGCCTGGTTGCTTAGCCAGCGCTCTGAGGTACTTGAGGCAACTTTCGTAACTTGGCCAACTGGGGCATCAAGTGTCGTAAGCCAAAGCCAAACGGAAGTGCCGCAGTGCCAAAAGAGTCGACTTAACAATGCCATCGGAAGTGAGCGAAACAAAAGCAAATGGGACAGCAGTAGAAAAATAAGAAGAAGAACAAAAAAACAAGAAACAAAAACAAAAATAAAAGTTAAAATAGCGCTTAATCTAATAACAACATAATAATCATAATCATAATATCATTTGCCCTCACATGCGTTGCCATCTTTCCCAGTTGGGCTGCCATTAACGCCGCATTTTTCGTATTTTCGTATTATTTTCCCGTTGATGGCGGCGACGGTTGCCGCCATTTTGGCTAACAGTTTGTTGCCTGTTAATGGCGTTTGTTGTTGTTCTGGTTGTTGTTGCTGTTGTTGCCTAATGCGCTAAGAAATCCCATTGACATGGCCAGAGACTGGGTGGAGATAGATGGTTTTCATGCCGGGCAAAATAAGTGCAGATAAAGTTGTTAAGTCAAAACTTTTCTTGTTGTTGTTTTTTTCCACTCGCTGACAGAAGCGTCGCACTCGATTATGATCTTGATAATGATGATAATATATGAATGTAACACTCTTGCTGTTGCTGATAATGATGATGGCAATTGAACGCTCTCAATGAGCGCATGATGCAAGTCGCACACGCTCACAACGCCCATAAATCCATATCGAGATGCTGTCCTCGCTCTTAAGCCCCACCCCCAACCCAGTCGAGTAAACTAAATTGGCATTTACTCCAAAGCCGTTGCTACTGCGACAGCGACAACCGTCCGTTCAACTGCTGCAGTAGCAGTAGCAGCAGCAGTAGCTCATCCCCTCGTTTAGCTGTAGGATGAGTGGTGTCTCCGGTTGGGGCTGCTTCTGGCAGAGCGGAAAAAAGGAATTATGTCAAGTTGTGCGCGTAATAAATACTCGGAATCGTTTACGTGCGTACAACACCACAATGACACGTACAACAAATAAGAGCTAAACAAGCCGGCAAACATTCAGACAGCCGGATAGACAGACAGCCAGACACTCAGACAGTTGGACAGAGACAGTGAGACAGTTGAATGGAGGCAATTGACTCGCAACACGGCAGCTGAGGTAGCTGCACAGCAAATGCTCCACAGGAAACAGCAGAAATGGCTACTTTACAGCCAGATATGATATTAACTAACTTTGCCGCCACACTTGGGATCCAGCGGATCTCCAAGGAGACTGATGTAATTTAAAAACTTGCTTAAAATTGTTCCACGAGCTCATTAAGTACATTCCAAAATATGCATCCCCCGAGATGCAAAGTACATTTACTCTACTCAGAAAGTGCGATATGTGTATATTTTCTAGCAAAAAATGCTATGCATATATGTAGCTATGCGTGTATGTGTGTGTGTGTGTGTGTCAACAATTGAGTTTCATTCGTGCAATGCAGTCAAGCGTTAAATCAGAGGCAGCGTCTAGAGTTGATGATTGGTTTTTGGCTGGGTATCGGTTGCCTTTGCGGATTGGCAGTCATGTTGTTTGTACTTTGCCAGCTTGATTGCTGTAGTTCAATAAGTGTGTGTGCATGTGCGTAAATAACGCTGATCTTTGACTTGTGCGCCAAAAGTTTTCAGTCAGTGAAGCAAAAGTTTGTTTTAGCGGGCGTCTGTCTAATGAGCTTAGACCCTTGGCTGTTCAGAATTTTCATTAGCCGCGCCCAGAAGTGGATTCTGTGTACACACATATTTATGTGTATGGGTGTGCTTGTGTGTGTGTGTGTGAGTGCATCTATTTACTTAAGTTACTGCGGCAGCTGGCTGTGCATTTGCCTGCCATACGACATCCTGTCAAGGACGTCTGCGAGCAAAATGAACTCGCATAGCAAACACTGCTGGCAAACTTTTAACTTGTGCCGTGTCGTGCACGACATTTGCTGCCAGCGCATCCGTTTGAATCCTACAACGTTCAAATTGCAGCAGAAATGAGAAAAAACAACAAAACGACAAGCATATTCATATGCGCTGTTGAATTGTTCTACGCGCTGTCGATACAACTGAGAAAACTTTCTCGTTATGGCATGCCTGGAGTTTGCATTCCCTACCATTTGCTCCTGTGCTGGCAGCAAGGACACTTGATTTAATCTGGTAGTTGTAAGCTGTTGCTATTTTGTCTGCAAGTTGCCGCTGTACGTCTTCAATAAATGCATTTGCGTATGTCAAAGATATGCGAGACGCAACGACGACAACAACAATGTGTATAATAAAGCATAGCAGCTGCTGCAGCGCTGAGTTACTGTGTGTGTGTCTGTGTGTGTGTTTCTCCTGGAACAGCAAAACTCCTTCAGTTCGCATTCATGTCCTTGTCCTTGTACTTTGCCCTTGTCGCAAGCATCTCCCGCGTAGTCCCTGCATCTCCTACTCCCTTGATATACGATACTTTTGGTACAAGAAATAATTCTTCTCGTTTACTTGACTAAAGTCTGTCTCCTTTTTCGCTAACGGTATTTTGTTTCGTCCTGCGTCTCAAGTTGTTGCCGCGTTTCCTACAGTTTTACTGCCCGAACGATACCCACGCACACGCACACACGCACACGCACACGAACACACAGATCTGCTACATATACGTATACGTAATGTAAATGTGGAGCCAGCTCTGTTGCTACCAGAATATCTATGTTTATGCACATGTTAGCTGCAACAGCTGGCCGAACAGGTTAAGGTTCGCTCCACGCAGATTTATGAGAGCTCATTAAAAAAACCCGTTTTCGGCTTCAGTTAATACACAAGCGGAGCGACGATAATACATTGGCCATAAATCAGCTGGCTGGTATATGTGTTATGTCTATTGGATAATTAAAAGGACATCTCAACAGCTTTCAATTAATTTAATAGCCAAATTTTAGCTTACGATTGTTAAGTCTGCTGGGCAATAATAAATCTTACATCATACATTTGTATGCATCCTTGTGGCAAGTAGTTGTTCATTATAATATCCTGTATCCTTTGCCAAGGATACAGCTGCACGCTTGTCTTATGTGATCGCGTTATTCCACATGAATGGAGACAATGCTGAC